CAAACTTCTATACTTTGCTTGTTGGTAACAGAATAACCCAAAACAAAATTCTCCACTGAAGCAAAAAGAAAGCCCCGCAAAATGTTCTGTACTGCTGGTTTTCATGGGCAGCAGACAGAGGAAAGGCATGTGGTGTATGGGATGGAATAGTTTCTGGAGAAGAGTGCTTCCTTGGCTCTGGAAAGCACCTGATCCTGCTGTTTGTTGTGGGTTAGAGGAGATGTCTGTTCCCCGTGAATGCGTGAAGTGCTGAGGGATGCTAATGTGTCCTGGCCTGCGGGAACTACTTAAGACAGTGGCAAATCTTCTCGAAAAAGACTCAATCCCTGCAGTGAAGTCACAGCTCCTGCACAATACATGCACTACCTACAATCTCCATGTGGGACTGTTAACAGAACAGATTTTTCAAAAGATGGGTAAAAGGAAGGGTCACAAAATGTATTAGTTTGAGCGTTGCTAATCATTCGCAGAAGCTGAAGGTTGGGAAATACGTGAATTTATTTTTAATGTGATTTCCGCCTTTCCATGCTGCTTTGCCACAGAAAACCTAGCTCAGAAATCTAAAAGGAGATACATCTAATGCATGTTTCAGTCATTTTAAGCTATGCTGCAGCCCTGCTGGGGAGACCTGGGAAAGTACAGGTTCCATTCTTGCCGCAGGTACCGAGTGGCTTGTGAACCTGCATAGACTTGAACCCATTGATCAGAGATGATGGCTTTGGTGCAGTCAGAGCACGCTCCTCGTCTTTCAGAGAGCGGCAGCGTACCCACCTCGCTGAACGCACAGTAGATGTGATACTAGGAGGATCGGGGACAGCATGTGTGTTAAAACTTCTGAAGCAAGGTGAATGAGCCCATGAATCAGTAGGGAACACGAGAAATGGATGCATTTCCCATTACACTAACACGTACGCCTGCCAGGTCATGTTAGCTGACTGGTTTTGATGTATCTATTTCTGCCTTACTGAACCTGTTGGTGGCAAGTTCTAGTGTTGGTTCCATTAATTACTAATGTAGTTTGATTAGAGTCTCTATATTACAAGATAATTTTGACACTTTGTTTTTAATACCTGCAGAAACTTGCTTCAGCTGTGGAAATTGAAATGGGGATTTTTCTGTGCCACAGTCCCATAAGCTTGTGTGTCTCATTCCTAATTGCTTTCTCTGCCAACCCAAATGGCGATGGACCTGGGGGTTGAGTTTTTAGACCCTTTTTTTGTAGAACTTGTTTTCATAACTAGCCCTGTATGTTTCCTCTCTTGGTTGCCAATTACCTGGAGCTGGGATATCATTTATTTATTACCTCCTTTACCCTCTCTCTTAAAGACGACGATGGGCAGGTTCTCAGCCTACCTACATGGTGGACTTTAGGTAACATCTCTGTAACAACTGAGTTTGATCTATAAATGTGCTTGGCTAAATGTCTGATCTGCAATACTTGTAATAGTTTAAAATTCAATAAATACATTTTTAACAGTTGCTTTGTGAAAGCTGTGTTTGCACAAACTGCTATTCTGTCTTGGTCTTAAGACAAACCTGCACCAGCCACAACTGTTGAAAACAGTTTTATTTTTATTTTCTCCAAACAATTTGTTTTCTCTCTCCCTCAGGCAATAAATAAAAAGTTAATTTCTAAAAAAAAAAAAAAAAAACAAAAAAAAAACAAACCACAAAACCATACATATGTACATCAGCCACACAGGCATCTTGTGTGTTGGATTGGACTGGGGGGAAGGAGAGAGGTAGGGTGGGAAATAAGGCTCCAGGTGGGTTGAAGATGAGGCATGTTCTATCTAGGCTTGGACCAAAAGCTGCAGCAATGTTGCACAGGTGAGCGAGACCCAGCTGAGGTGGAAAAGGGCAAATGAACGTTGTACAAAGAGCCAAGCCTGTAGCACATGCTCCAGTTTTGGAAATGCTGCCCGGCTGGCATCTCTGGGCCAGCCTCTCCTCCACCCTGCTGCTTCTCTCCATTACAGCCCAACCATGTCCCATCCTCCTCCTTCTGAAAGAACAGCAGTGGGATGGGTGGAGAAGAAACACAACAGAGTCATCAAAAGACCAGACTGCTGCCCCCACACCTCCTGTCTCCTCTTTAAGCCACAAGAGATTTGGACATACGTTTTGCAGGAACCAGAGATCCACAGAGGCATTTAGGACTGCATCTCCCCTTCAGCCCACCTCCTGGCCACAGAGATTGCTCTCCCCCCCAGGAACAGGCTCAGCTGGTGCCTGCCAGCTCCTGCATTGCCTCCCCAGCCGCTGGCAGGGGTGAGGTGGTCTGCAGGCAGCCCCATGCCACCACCACCCCTGCTTGGCCCAAGGCCCTGCCTGCCGCTCTGCTTGTCACCCAGTGTAACTGGCTCAGGTAAGCAGCACCCACCATGGGCACTCAAGTCTCTCTGCGCAAGGGGGGGAAGACTGCTGCACAATAAAAAGAGGGTATGCTCCCTTTTCAACCCAGATGAGCTAGGGGCAGAAATACAGGGAGAGGGGGACGTGTATCATTTTTTTAAAAAAAAAGACACTAAATAGTGATGGACAGAGATGAAGACCAGGCACTTGAGGAAACCCAGTATACTATTTTTTTTCCTCCCCCAAAGAGCCTGGACAATGTCAGGGTTTGTGGCTTTTACAACTTTCATGCTTTCCAAACATAAAAAGCAAAAAACCAAGATGAGGTAAGAAATTTCTCTACAAAAAAGACATTGAGTCCAGGGTGAACGGCAGTGTCCGGCACTATTGCTTAACATCATGGGGCTCCATGCCCACCTGCCCCCCTCCACGCCTGGCACTATCTGCCTGGCTGGCCTCAGCCCCTGAGCTAACAGCTGGGTGACGTGGTGATGGGGCTGTGCAGGTATGGGAGGCTGCTGGGGGTGGCATGGACACCGACAGAGACTGGGAAGCTGAAGACAAACTGGGAGGTGGGGGTGGAGGTGGCCTTGCCCCGCTCCCGCAGTGTCCCCGAGGGGCTGACAGCTTCCACTGCACATGAGGTGGCCAACACCTGTGACTCAAACTGCAGCAGCTGCCCCATGAAGCTGAAGTTAGGGGAGATGATGCTTCGGCGCTGCTTGACAAACTCAAAGGCCTCCTCCAGCTTGACACGCTTCTTCATCATCAGGTAAGCCAAGCAAATGGTGGCAGAGCGGGAGATACCAGCCTGGCAGTGGACTAGGACCCGGCCGCAACACTCCTTCACTGAGTCTGGAGGGCAATGGGATGAGACATGAGACCAACACCCTTTCAACAAAGCCCAACCCCTCACCAAACCCATGGGTGATGGCTGACCTCCCTCCCACCAGTGCAGTAAATGGCCTGGTCTCTGCTGGACACAGTCCCCTCTGAGCCAAAAGGAACCTCTTCCCCCCCCCGTAGGACCCGGCCGCAACACTCCTTCACTGAGTCTGGAGGGCAATGGGATGAGACATGAGACCAACACCCTTTCAACAAAGCCCAACCCCTCACCAAACCCATGGGTGATGGCTGACCTCCCTCCCACCAGTGCAGTAAATGGCCTGGTCTCTGCTGGACACAGTCCCCTCTGAGCCAAAAGGAACCTCTTCCCCCCCCCGCCCCCCCACTCCTCTGTGCAGGCACTCACCGATGTACTCTATTGCCTCCATGAACCACGAGCTGATGTCAGCTTTGTGGTTATCCTCCACGGGGATACACTTATACTGGTAGTGCCCCTCAAAGTGGTTGGGGCAGTCTGAGGAGACGTTC